AAGAGAGATGGATTGACTCTGTCAAGGGAGCCACGGCCTTCAGCTTGCAAGACTTCAGCAAGGCTCTTAACAGCAGCACATTTTGGAGGTCATTAAATCATAGGGTCGCCCACTTGATGACACATCACGGACACACACACACACACACCACACACACACGCCAGTGTTCCCTCTAAGCTGAGTTAGTGTGAGCTAGCTCACAGTTTCTTAGCCTCCATCTCACAGATTTTTGTCTCAGCTCAGGAAGGAGGGCTCCAGGGCAAACTAATTTATGCAGCAGCCAAATCTCTCACTCACAACTTTAATGCTAGTTGCTTATAAAGTAGAATTTTTGCTCACAAGACCCCACAGCTTAGAGGGAGCATTGGCACACCCGGCTGGGGAAACCTTAGAATGCAAAAGCAGGGGAGCTCTCACCCGTCATTCCAATGTGGCTTCAAGTGTTTCTTCAGGACTTCCATCACCCCGTCGAACCACTGCCAAAATGTGTAATTCCGCCCTGGAAGGTTCTCCTGGGGGGGGGGGGGGGGGGGGGGGGTAAGAAAGAAAGCCAAAGGTTTCCACCTGCTTCTCTGATCCTGGGCTGAAGGTTTATGGGAAGCCCCCCCCCCCACGAGGGGAGCAAATTCACAGGAATGGTTGTAAATCAAAAGCATAACATCAAAGCCTCTCAGCTGAACGCCACTGAATTTGCTGGAATGGTCTACAGGTAGGGGTCATTTCCTGCAGCACACAGGAGCAGAGCTCCGGAAGTAAAGAGCCCAGGGGGGCGGGCACATGCAACAAGCCCCACCCCCTGCTCCCAGCAGCCCTCAGTCAGAGCAAGAAGCAGCCAGGTAAATCGCAGAGCCCCCCCGGCTCCCTGGTCCAAAACAGTCCAGTGGCACCTTTAAGACCAGGTTTTATTCGGGTACAAGCTCTCCCTCCTCTGCAAGGACAGATCTGCACGTCCCCCCCCCCAATAGATAGCAATCCAAAACAGTCCAGCGTAGCCTGAGTGGTGCGTGTTGCCTTCTGACACACTTCCGGTGATGTCAGGGGGTGTGGCATATGCAAATAAGTTATGCTAATGAGTTATGCTAATGAGCTCCTGCGCCTCTTTTTCTACGAAATTACCCCTGTCTATAGGCCTCTGTGGATTTGGACGCTTTGTCGGAGGGTCCATTTTCAAAGGAACAAGTCATTCGTGTGTGCTTTTAGGGCAAAACTATCCTGGGGAGAAGAGGAGGGAGGGAAGTGCAAGCCACGTATTTTGAATCCAAACCCTGAATGTACTTGCCATAGAAATGCTCTTTGCAGAATAGCAGGAAGCCCCGATGCCAGTTTTGCATGCAGGTGGTCAACGCTACTTTGGGAAGGTTTTTGACAGCACGCAAAACACAAGCACAGGTGCCAGGTGAACTTTCTGGCCAGTTCTGCACAAGTCATCTCCAGCCTGGACTGAAATCCAGCAGCCTCCAAAAGATTTTAAGAATGGGTGTGGGGTAGTGGCTGAGAAAACCATCTCTGAGCTAGAAAGTCAAACAATTTGACTCTCCATTTCTCCTGCTGGGCAACACGAGGCAAGCCTGGGCTCCTGCACTCACTACTCTGGTCTGCTAGACATAGCTTTTTGTTTTTTTAAATCTGTATAGAAGAAGAAGAAGAAGAAGAAGAAGAAGAAGAAGAAGAAGAAGAAGAAGAAGAAGAAGAAGAAGAAGAAGAAGAAGAAGAAGAGGTGGAGCTGAAAGAGCTCTGGACAGAAACTGCTCTTTTTTCAAGAACAGCTCTTATGAGAACTATGGCTTGCCCAAGGTCATCCAGCCAGGTGCAAGTGGAGGAGTGGGGAATCAAACCCGGTTCTCCCAGATTAGAGTCAGCGCTCCTAACCACTACCCCAAACTGACATCCCAATTTGTATTTGCTAGTAAGCTGGTACATAATGAGGCCATTGGGCTGGAGCTCTTAACCTGCAAGCTGGTCTTGTTTGATATCCACAACCTGCTCCCTTTTGCAAATGCAAAATTTTCACAGGTGTTGCTGGGGCTTACCGGCTGACATTGCGGAGCTTGGAAACGTACCAAGGCGGGCCCCAAGATGATCAGGGGGTTGGAACACCTTCCCTATGAGGAAAGGCTGAAGAGTATGGGACTTTCAGTTCAGATAAGAGATGATTAGAGGGGGGGGCAGGAAAGAGGGGTGGAGAGAGTTGACCAAGAGAAATTTTTCTCCCTCTCCCAAAATGCTAGAACTTGAGGGCATCCAATGAAGCTGATGGGCAGTAGGTTCAGGACGGACAAAAGGAAATACTACTTTACACAGAGTGATCAGAATGTGGAATTTGCTGCGAGAGGATGTTGTGATGGCCACAGGGATAAACAGCTTTAAAAGGGGATTAGATAGATTCAGGGAGGATAAATATCAGCGGCTACTAGCCATGGCGGCTGAGAGGAATCTCCACTTTCAGAGGCACTAATCCTCTGAATCCCAGAGCCAGGAAGCAACATCAGGGGAAGGCCTCGGCCTCTATGTCCTGTTGTTGGCCTTCCAGAGGAACTGCCTGGCTGCTGTGCGAGACGGAAGGCTGGACTAGATGGACCACTGGTCTGATCCAGCAGGGCTCTTCTGGTGGAACTCCCTGCTGAATGACATCCGTGCCCTGCAGGACCCAACAGAGTTCCACAGGGCCTGAAAGACGGAGATGTTCCACCAGGCCTATGGCTGAGGATGGCAACTGCTCCTCCCTTCCTTTTCCCCCCAGCGAGGTAAGGGTACAATCTGATGTACCTGTTATGCACCATCTGTAACTGTTAACTTGCTACTGTGTTGTTAAGGTGTTTTTAACTGTATGCAAACTTGGTGAGGTAGGTTAGGTTGAGAGAAAGCCACGGGCCCAAGAAAACCCATAGAGCCTCCATGGCACAGTAGGGATTTGTATCCAGCTGCCGCCAATCCTGGTTGGACACAGCAGCCTGTCAGAGTCCCACAACACACAGGCTCAACAATGTTCCTTCCAGAAGGATCAAGTTTATTGAGTGCAGTAGAAGCAGGTCAACTCTGTGTACAGTTTCTGTGTAAAGGCTAATCCCACAGGCGGGAAGAGTTTGAAGCGAGACCCTCTGATGGGAGCAAGCCAATTAGAGGTGCAAGCCTTCCGAGCTCTAAGTAACAACTACAGGTTCCCAGGGAGGCGAAAGTGGGAAGCATCAAGGTCAGGCTAAGAGATAAGGCGCAGGGAGAAAACGCAAGTTAACATTCCAGGACAATAAGATGATCACTCCACCAACTCCCTTCCCCCACCATACATGGCAGCATAGCTGACACAACCGCTATGCTGCCCCACTGGTGGGAGTAGGAAAGGCTCGCAGGCAGGGTGGCCGACTGCTCCCTGGGAAATTCCTGGTGACCTGGGGGCGGAGCCTGGCAAGGGCGGAGTTTGGAGAGGGAAATGTGCTCAAGAAGAAGAGGAGGTGTGGAGACTACCCAAAGGAGTCTCAGAGTGGCTTACAATCTCCTTTCCCTTCCCCTCCCCACAACAGACACCCTGTGAGGTAGGTGGGGCTGAGAGAGCTCTCAGAGAACTGCCCTTGAGAGAACAGCTCTGAGAGAACTTGTGACTGACCCAAGGTCACCCCCAGCAGCTGAGTGTGACGGAGTGGGGAGTCAGACCCACTTCTCCTAGATTAGAGTCCACGCTCCTAACCACTACACTGAACTGGCTCTCAGGGGGGTACATGATTCCATATCGTTCGCTCTCTGAAGCTGCCATTTCCTCCAAAGGAACTGAGCTCTGCAGTCTGGAGATCAATTCACGTTCCAGGAGAACACCAGGTGCCATGTGGAGGTTGGCAACCCAACTTGTAGGCCCCAACTCTTCCCACTCTGAACGGAACTCCGCCCTGCCTAGTTGCTCACCCGCTCCTTCCAGTTTGGTGTAGTGGTTAAGTGTGCGGACTTTAATCTGGGAGAACTGGGTTTGATTCCCCACTCCTCCACTTGCACCTGCTGATGTGACCTTGGGTCAGTCACAAGCTCTGGCACAGAGCAGTTTGTGTCAAAGTTCTCTCAGCCCCACCTACCTCAGAGGGTGTCTTTTGTGGGGAGGGGAAGGGAAAGGAGTTTGTAAGCCGCTCTGAGACTCCAAGTGAAGGGTGGGGTATAAATCCAATCTCTTCTCTTCTTCTTCCCGGAGCACCCCGACCCCGCCGACTTACTCTGTTGAACTGGGCCCAGGAGACGGGCATGTTGTTGTACTCTTCGAGGTGGTTGATGTTGCTGTTGAAGAGCTTCTGAGCCAGGAAGAGCAGGTTGTCCTTGGTGAGCCCTCGGCTGCTCTGGACCTCGGCCTTGAACTTCATGTTGAGGGCCTCACACAGCTGGGACCACATGACTTTGTCTGGCACGGCAAAGGGCACGCGGCCTGGCTCGGCGAACGCGTTGTCCCACAGCACTGTGGCGGTGGCGTTGTTGTCCTGGCTGCCGTGCACAATCACCACGACGGGGAGAGACAGCGTCTTCACCTGAAAGACCAGCTCATTGCCGCCGACACTGAACTGGGACTCGAAGAGGATGGTGAATTTCTCCTCCGTCACCGACTCGGCCCCACGCCGGTCCGAACGTTTGATCCGCTTGAGTGACTGTGCAGGGAGGTGGGATAAAGGTGACAGGCAGGGGGAGGGGGAGAGGAGAGATCGTCAAGGGCCTGGAAGAAATGTTAAGCACTTGGGGGCAGGCGGGAGGACGACCGGCAAAGGGAGACTGTATATATGTCTAAACTCAAAATATATGATTGGGGCAATCTGCAGGTGGGAAAAGCAGTTTGCCCAATTTGCTCTGACAGGAGGTTTTGAGTGCAAATTTTAAGGATTTCCATGAAGGGCTGTTGGATCAAGATGGGTCGCCGTGTTAGTCCAGTAACACCTTAAAGACTAACAATATTTGTGGCAGGGTATGAATTTCTGTGAGTCACTGCTCGCTTCTACAGAAAAGAGCAAAAGTCCAGTGGCACATTAAAGACTAACAACATTTGTGGCAGGGTATATGAACTGTCATGAGTCACTGCACACTTCTTCACAAAAGAGCAAAAGTCCAGCGGCACATTAAAGACTAACAACATTTGTGGCAGGGGATGGGTGCGCTTCCGTGAGTCACTGCTCACTTCTTCAGAAAAGAGCACAAGTCTAGTAGCACCTTCAAAATTAACAACACTTGTGGCAGGGTATGTGATCTTCCATGAGTCACGGCTCACTTAAAGTCCAGTAGCACCTTAAAGACTAACAATATTTGTGGCAGGTTTATGAACTTCCGTGAGTCACTGCTCACTTCTTCAGAAAAGAGCAGTAGTCCAGTAGCACCTTAACAACTAACAAAATTTGTGGCAGGGTACGAACTTCCGTGAGTGACTGCTCACTTGTTCAGAAGTGAGCAATGACTCACAAAAGCTTACACCCTGCCACAAATTTCGTTAGTCTTTAAGGTGCTACTGGACTTTTGCTCTTTTCTACTATGTTAAGAGAGCAGTGGCAGTGAAGGAGTCAAATACAGCACTGATGGAAGTGCAGAGAAACAGGGAAGGGGACAAGACGTTAAAAACGATACAAGGTGCTCCCCTCCACTAGAGGCTCCACTTGGCCCCTCTGCCTCTCAGAGCTGCTTCTTGGCTCCCAAACACGACCAAGCTTTTCCCCGAAAACCAGTTTGAGAGAGTAGCTGTGTTGTTCTCCGGTGAAACAGCTAGATTCAAATGTATTAGCACCTTAGAGAACAATAAGATTTGGGGGGTATAAGTGTTTGAGAATCAGCGCTCCCTTCCTCGGATACGTTCGTTGGAACTCATATCTGTCGGTCGCCACGGTGCCACTGGACTCCAATCCAGCTGTTCTGAAAACCAGGAGGATTAAAAATATGCTTTTCAGCAGGGAAAAAAGAGAGAAGAATATGGAAGCAGAAAGACAGGGGTTTGAATCGATATCGGCATCCCATCTCTCACCATGTTGCGGAAGTGTGCACTCAGCGTTCCAGTTGCCTGGTGATATTCCATCACGCAGCAATTGTTCAAGATATCGCCGCTGCTCTCGCTGTCAAAGGAAAGCAACAGCCGTTAGCAGAATATAAGCCACTGTACCATGGGAGACTCAGCACCTTCCTCCCAAACTTCATCAGGTGCAGAACACAGTTCCTTCTAAGCTGCGCTAGGGGGTGCTGGCGCACAACGTTTCAGAGGCCAGCTGAGAGGATTTCTGTTCACCTCACAGCCAAGCTTCCATTGGAAACAACTGAGGATGGGGGCACCTCCTTTTGGGACCCATAGAATTGGACTCCCTGGTCCAATCTTTTTGAAGCTGGGGGGGGGGGGGTTGAGGAGAGGCACCAGCAGCTATGCTGCAAATCTGATGCATCTACCTAAAAAAACAGCCACCCCCCAAAGCCCCAGATACTCTTGAATCGATTCTTCATTATAGTCTATGGGGCCCATTGACTATAATGGTCCCCATAGGCTATAATTGAGATATTTTTTTTGCACGTACCGATTATGCTTTTCAGTATGATTTGTAAATTGATTTGAGTCACAGGGAAAAGTGGGATATAAATATCTGAATAAATTAGTTTGGACAGGTTGATAACATTTAAGCAACTTCCTGTTTGTTAGGTTAGGCAGGGTTCAGACAGTGATTGTTCCACCTCTGTTATACTTGACCTGTTATGCTGGTTCTCGTATTTCACTAAAAAAAGAAGAAGTTGACTGCAGGAGTTTCCCCCAAGTGCTGGTATGTTTTCCAAGGGTCAGTGCAGGATGACAGTCCAAGGCCAGGTATACCAATATAATGGACTGGAGTGGGTAAACCTGTTCTTCAGAGGCCAGATCTACCAATATAGAGGGAAGGGGGTGGGTAGACCTGCTCTCTGGAGGTCAGGTCTACCAATATAGTAGAAAGGGGTAGACAGACCTGTTCTCCAGAGGCCAAGTCTACCAATATAGTGGACTGGGGCGGGTAGACCTGTCCTCTGGAGGCCAGGTCTACCCCTATAGAGGACATTTTTGGTAATGAAATTTGACTTGATTCTGTTTTCTCTTATAATGTTTAAATTATTCTTAAAATTTAGATTAATATTTCCCTCCAGCTTCACTGGAAGGAAAACTCACATGGGTTAGGAGCAACAGGCTGTTAGTAGGAAGGGAGCAGTTTTCAAAGCAAGCTTTGCAAACTGTAGAGACCAAGGGCTGAACTGAACTCCACACCGTGGGGAAAAAAACCTTTCATGCTTGTTTCCTTTAACTCTTACACAAATCACTGAATACACTTTTCTCTACCGGCTCCCATGAGGATATTGCTCCCTTGGTATTAAGTGCTAACTGCTTTCTCCTGCTCCGTTAACAGAATTAGACTGACGGCTTATTTCACAGTTTTGTTCTTCCTTAACGCATGCAATACACAGGGTGGGGGTGGGGGACGAGTAACATACTTGCGAGTGCTCTCATTCTTGAGCAGGGCTTTGGCCTGCTGCTCGCTGATGATGGTGGCCTTCACCTGAGGGGGGTTCATGTGCACATTCAACTTCCCGCCAACCAGCAGCCGCACCGTGGCTGCAAACTTGGTTTGGGTCTTCAGCACCTGGGGAGGCTGCTTCTCAATAATGAAGGTGCTACGGGGGGTGGGGGGGGAGAGAAACAGAAGAAGCTGTGAGCACACACGGAGTTGGAAAAAAACACCCTTGACATAACTAGCTGTTGTCGCTCAGAACTTCCCCGCTCTCTTGTCATGGTTCTGGCAAGAGTGCCAAAATCCACAAAGGACTCCTTCGCATGAGACCGGAAGTGAGGGGCTGTTGCTCTCCAGATGTAACACTACAAATTAGAGTGGTTAAGTGTAGTGGTTAAGAGCGGCGGACTCTAAACTGGTGAACTGGGTTCGATTCCCCACTTCCCTGCTTGAAGCTAGCTGGGTGACCTTGGGCAAGTCACAGCACTCTCAGCCTAAAAATAAGAATAGCTCGCCACCTAGTGGTGCCCAAAAAACCCTACAGCTTCAGCAGCCAAACAGCCCCTTCCAAGATCTCCTCGCTATTCCACAAACAATGCCATATGATAATTAATTAATTGCTACAACATTAGCAGGGGAGCCGCATGTCTGCAAGTACTGTGGCTTGGATCCTGTGAATGAGCTCAGTGCGCGCTAGGTATTCTCTGCCCTGCAGCACTAGCCCTTCTTTCTTGCACAAGATCAGTGGTTTTCAGTGAGCCCTTGTGCAACCAGCAGAGCTGGTAGGAGAAGAAAGCTCCGCAGCAGAGACTATCTAGCCCACGCAGAACTTGTTCCAAAGACCCAAGCCTGTTGTTTCTTTTGAAGGAGACCTTGAATGCAAACACAGACACCCCATATTGGGTCGCAATACCTGATTAAACACTACATGTCATTCTGGCTTAAAGAGAGACCTGGGTTTCCTCGGTCATTACAATCTCTAACAACGCTACAGGAGTGTTAGTGTGGAATTGCCACTATTAATACACTTTTCTGGAAATTTTAACTGGCAGTTCTTAACATATTTCATCAGACTGTACCAGTATCCGTTAATTTTCACTTTTAAAATACCCATTTATCTGTTTGAACCTCTGACCTCCCTCACCATCAAGTATGCATAAATACCAATTCTCTTGATCTAGGGCTGGACTCACATCTGCCCGTTCTACATCAGCTTCCCCCCCCCCCGGGCAATTCGAGATTT